GCATTTCCGTTTGTGTGTGTGCGTGTGTGTGTGTGGGCGCGCGTTGGGTAGGAGCGACGAGGCCAGGGCGTGTGGGCACAACAGGCGATGATGCGTGCATGCGTGCACCCTCTCGGTGACAGCGGCAAGGTCACACGAGTCAAACATGACAGCGCCGAGCTGAACGAAATGACTGATGGGGTCTGAGGTGTGATGGTGACGTGACGGTCTTGGGGCGTATGCAAAGACCAGGTGGCAAGAGCCGATCGGTTCTGGTGTAGATGACCAAGGCATGAACCTGCCTCTCTCCCGGTGCCCCTCTCGCCTTGCCGTCTCGGCCGACGTACGCGCAAAATGGTGTTTGAGGGCAGCGCGTCTCGGGTTGTGAGATGCGGTGATCATCCAGAACCCGGGTACACCCCTGACCATGCCTGTGACCAGTATCATGTATCCCCCGCCCATGAAGACATCTACCTGCACTACTTCTCCGTCGGCTTTGAAACAGCCAAGACCCCGCTGCCATTCACACACACACGAGCGCGCACTCTCTCTCACCTGATGACCATGTGCGTGTGTGTAGAGTCACGTGTGTGAGAAAATCGACCCCAAGTGTGTAACTTTGATAGGGTTTATCGTTACAACACTACACGCATGTATTAAGGTTTGCCCTTTGTGTGTGGAATGGGTGCTTTACGCTTGAGCGCAGTGATGTGGCGTGTCGCACTGGCCGAGTGAGGATGCCGATCGCCGATTGAACATGAACGTTAAAACACAGCCACATCTCTTCAACTCACAGCCGTGAAGCCGGTTACAGGCGCGCTGCCGTCTGACCGGCCCATTGGACCTTGACTGGAGCCCTTGCGGCGAGGACTTGCAATACTCGAATTCAGTGACGATACGAACTTATATAGTATACGAAAGCAGTGAAGATTTACTTTGGTTTGTCAGACAAAGTTTGTGTGTGTGTGTGTGTGTGTGTCTGTGTGTGTGTGTCTGTGTGTGTGTGTGTCTATGTGTGTGTGTGTGTCTGTGTCTGTGTGTGTGTGTCTGTGTGTGTGTCTGTGTCTGTGTCTGTGTCTGTGCGTTCCGCCTTTGCGTGCGCTGTTTGTTTTGCTCTCAGACACGGCAACCACCCCCTCGTCACAAACACACGCAAGCAGATGAGAAAAACATGGCACGGGCTGAGATCAGAAAAGTGAGTTCCGCGGAACTGGCTGCGCGTGTCCACCCTCAACTTCGTACCCCCTCCTGGCCTTGTCAGTTCTACCCACGACAAAGTTCCTTGAGATTCCCAATTTCTACTCTCCTGCTCCCTCTTTCCTCTCAAACTTCCTCTCTTCCCTCTCCTCTCTTCTCTTCACTCTCTCTCACTCTCTCTCCACGCCCACTCGTGACCCACGATGGCGTTGGAAATCGCCAGAAAAGCCCCGTCATTGACCCGCTCAGCCCCAAACTCGATTTCCAAACGGAACGTCTGGAGTCTGGTCATGTTCCCATGACAGATTGGTTTGGCGCCACCATCGATCAAGGGCCATCCTATTTCAGCCAAACCGTTTATCATGACATGGAAAATCCTTCACAGTGGTCAGACCGGCAGGGGGCAGGCGGAGAAGCGGAGAGAGATACCGAAGGCAAGTGGCAGAGAGCCTGAGCGGCGAGCTGAGCATAAAACGAGAGACGCACCGAGACAGCCAGAGACGAACAGAAACAGACAGACCTCTTGGACTCGAGACCGGGCGCATGGCCAAGCCGCTTCGGGACAGACCCAGTCCATCGTACATGGTGTTGCCAGTTGACCGTGCTCTTGGCTGGGGCTGATGCTGATGGTGGTGGGGTTGGGGAGATGGCCAGACCGAGGGGCGGGGTGGGAGGTCCAAGATGACAGGTCATGCTCGATACGGAGGCGGCGATGAGAAGCCAACCACGACGGCCATCTTGCTCGTCGCGTCTAGCAACGACTGCAGTCACCCAGTCTGCAGGCCCCGCGGGACAGCAAGCAACGGCACGCCGCACCCCGTTCAGCCTACAGCTCCACCCTGTCTCCGACCTTGAGTTGCACGGCGACCGAAGAAGAACGACGTGCGAGAGATCGAGGCCAGAGACAGACCAGATGCCAGAGTCAGAGACAGTCAAGAGTCAGCCGAAAGAGACACACACAGAGTCAGAGACAGCAGGCAGAGACAGACACGGAGACAGACACAGAGTCAGAGACAGCAGGCAGAGACAGACACGGAGACAGACACAGAGACAGAGACAGCAGGCAGATACAGACACGGATGCAGACACGGAGACAGAGACGGAGGCCGGAGGCAGAGACAGACACGGAGACAGAGACAGCAGCCAGAGACAGAGAGGGCAAGTTACAGCAGCAACAAACAGCAGCAGCAGAAGAAGGAGGAGGAGGAGGAGTTGATCTGAACCATAGGAAACCAACCCAGAGGACGTTCGTGATGACGTGATTCCATATTTTTGGGACTTTGGTGTTTTTCCGCTGAAGGAACGTCATTGCACTTGCACTTTGGTGGCCTCGATTGATGCTGCTGATCGTCTCTCATAGTCCTAACTCTTTTTTCTCCCTCTCTCGCTTAAACCTCTCACTCTCTCAAACTCTCCATTCAACTACATGTATCTCTCACACACACACTCTCTCTCTCTATCGAAGAGTCACTCATGGATCCGTGCGAAAATGACAATTTCATATGGGCGCGAAGTACTGACATCGGATCCAACGCACCCACATAATCCCACATGATCCCATACTTCACCCCCATCTCACCCATCCACCCATGCCATCCACCCATGCCGCCACCATCCACGTCCTTTTCTGCTCAATGATGGTTGTTTCGTTCTGCGCTCGTTTTGAATGCTTGCTTTCTCTCCTTGATATTCCTTCCACAGGCTCTTGCTCTGCCATTCTAGACCATCACCTGCTGCATCTCTGCTCCCTCGGTTATTTCTCCAACGCTTGCTCACCCAATTCTACCCACCCCCAGCTCCAACCTCTGCCCGACTCCAACCCCCACGTACATACCTCTAAACCACAACCCCCATCCCCATCCACTCTCTG